AGCTTCAGTTTGAATTTGCATATGAGTAATTGATGGTCTGTTCCACAGTCTGCCCCTGGCCTTGTTTTCACTGATGATATGGAGCTTTTCCATCGTCTCTTTCCTCAGATGTAGTCATTTGATTTCTGTGTATTCCATCTGGCGAGGTCCATGTGTATAGTCGTCTCTTAGGCTGTCTAAAGAAGGTATTTGAAATAAACAAATCATTGATTTTGCAGAATTCTGTCGTTCATTCTCCAGCATCATTTCTATCACCAAGGCCCATAGTTCCCAACTACTGATTTCTTCTTTGCTCCCACACTTTGCATTGCAATCACCAGTAATGACCAATACATCTTAATTCCATGTTTGATCAATTTTAGATTGAAGAAGTTGGTAGAATTCACTGTCTTTAGTGGCTGCTGCGTAAATTTGAATAATAGTGGTATTAATGGGGCTTTCCTGTAGGCGCATGGATATTATCCTATCACAGACAGCATTGTACCTCATGACTGATCTGGATATGTTCTTTTTGACAATGAATGTAATACCATTCCTCTTCAATTTTTCATTCCTGGCATAGTAAACCATGTGGTTGTGAGATTCAAAATGGTCATTACCAGTCCATTTCAGCTCACTGATGCCTAAGATATCAATGTTTATACATTCCATTTCATTTTTGACAATTTCTAATTTTTCTAGATTCATATGTCTTCCATTCCATGTTCTGATTTTCAGTGGATGTTTACAGCTGTTTCTCTTCATTTTGAGTTATGCCCCATCGGCAAATGAAGGTCCTGCGGGCTTTTCTCCCACGGGCTTTACTCCTTTGGTATCATTACAGTCAGCTCTACTTTGAGGAGACAGCTGTTCCCCAGTCACATTTTGAGTACCTTGCAACCTGAGGGGCTCATTTTCTAGAACTATGTCTGACAGTGGTTCTCTGCTATTCATAAGGTTTTCAGTGACTAAATATTTGGAAGTAGTTCGTCACTCCTTCTTCCTAGTCTGTCTTCGTCTGGAAGCTCATCTGAAACCTGTCCACCATGGGTGACCCTGTTGGTATTTAAAATACCCGTGGCTTAGCTTCCAGAATCACAGCAACTCACAAGCCATCACAGATGACACACTGACAGACGAGTGGTGGTGACTACATATACCTGCAAATATTCTTTGCTGCTTTCAATTGGAAACCATTTTGTAAAAATGCAAGCACCTTGCTGTCTCTTAAGGAAATTACTTTGTCAACTAACTACTTAGTGTGATGGATTACAAGATTCATAAAGTCAGTGAATTGATGTCTCTGTTTTGTTTTTGTTTTTGGCAGGTCATCCAGAGCATAGTCCACCTACACGAGCTTCTTAGCACCTTGCAGGTATGTAGCTTATCTTTATGGTAGACTTGATGGAAAACAAAACAAATAAATGAAAACAGTTGATTACAGGAACGGTTTGATTACTCTGCCACGAAGTCCAGAGGGTACTGCATGTCTTTTAGCAGATGGTTTCAATCCAGAAAGTCTTTAGTGTCATGTTGAGTTTGCAGGTTTCGTATTTCCATGTGGTATTTATTTAGGGTGGCTGTGAGGGGCTCTCACCAATCCTGCCAACTACGCCATCTGTCCCACCCAGCTCAGGGAGATGTATGTGGTGGGTCGTAAGTCCCGCTGCACATGCCAGCTGCCCCACACTGTGGAAATCTCTGCTTTCCTTCCCTGCTCACTTCTGACTCTTTATCCCTAGCCACCAGGGCTAAATGAGCTGGTACCAGTTACTATGTTTGGAGGCTACATGGTTCCATCCACTTCAGACCAACTGGTCCCAAGTTTGAAGTTTTCCTCTACTCCCTGAGAGTACCTACTGTCAGTTCAGGTGTTCACTTGACTCTCCATTTCAGACTAGCCAGCCCCCACTAGTCCTCCATATCATCCTGTAATTTGCTAGACCAACTCACAGCACATAGGAAGCACCACACCTGTATACCAGCTCTAATGTAACAAAGGGTACAAATGAAGAAATTCGTGGAGCAGATCCTCAAAGGGGACATACTAGCATCCCCAGAATAGACGTTCACTCTGACCAACAGGAAGCGCCATCTGAGTCTTAGGGCATTTATTGGCCTCATCATGTGGCCATGATCCATCGCATCTTGCCTTTGAGGCCTAGTCAGCGTCTGAGCTTGGTTACTTGGTCCCATTCATTAGTGTCCAGTACAGTCCAGCTCTCAGGAACCCAGAATAAAAGGAGATGGTTCTGTGCCATGCAGTCAGTCTGGCTCGTAGTGACCCTGCACAGGGGTTCCGAGACCATAAGTCTTTGCGGGAGCAGAAAGCCTCATCTTTCTCCCACAGAACAGCTAGTAGTTTCGAACTGCTGACCTTGTAGTTAGCAGTCCACCTCGTAACCCTTGCGTTTCCAGAGCTCCTTGCACCTCATAGAGGCCCTCCCAAAGTAGCCACCACTTAGTACTTCCCAGGAATCTTCTCACACCTGGTCATTTCCCTTCTGGAAGACCTGTTGTTTGATGTTGATTCCAACTCATCCATCATCGAGATTCCTGTTGGCCCCCCACCTCTTAAACACAGGCCACATTCACTCACTCACCCTACCCCTGGCAGTGCCAGTGACCTCAAGCAGCATGTGACCAAGTTTGAGTTAAAAACAAACTCCACTGCTTACACCTTTGACATTCCTACTTGACAACTGTCAAAAGTTACCGCGGAGTACTAAGGAGGGAACGGCAGTCCCTAGTCTGGAGTCATTCCGACTGAGCTTCAGGTCTGCTGTCTGCGTGTCTCCTCCGTCAGGGCGTGGTGTTGCAGCAAGACAGCTACATTGAGGACCAGAAGCTGACACTGACCGAGAGGGCGCTGGCACGGAGCTCCTCCCGCCCCAATTCCCTCATCGAGCAGGAGAAGCAGCGCAGCCTGGAGAAGCACCGACAGGATCTGGCCAACCTGCAGCGACAGCAGGTCCAGCACCTGGAGGAGCGGCGGCGGCGGGAGCGCGAGTGGGAGGCCCGTGAGAAGGAGCTGCAGCAGCGGGAGGTCCTGCTGATGCAATGGGAGGAGAGGGTGCAGCGGGGGCAGCAGGACTTAGACCGGGACCGTGAGGAGCTGCAGCAGAAGAAGAGCACGTACCAGTGTGACCTGGAGCGGCTGCGCGCTGCCCAGAAGCAGCTGGAGCGAGAGCAGGAGCGACTCAGCCAGAGGCAAATGGGACAGGACCTATGTCAGGTACTGAGGGCCTGGAGAGAAGGGGAGGGTCTTCTCGCCCTGTTAGGTTACTGTTAGGTACTAAGCACCGTAGAAAGTAAGCAGAGGGATAAACCTTTGATTTTTACACAGTATTTTTCTTATGCCCTGAAAGGGGGCGGGGGGCACGGGCGTCTCTCTCCTTTTTGATTCTGATGGGCAGACTGGAATTGCCCTGGGAGTTTGGCCGAGGAAGTGAACAGACGGCCCCAATGGGACTGATACCTCCCTGAGCCACCATCCACTCCGGCTAGGATAGCCTCAGCCCTCAGCGTACCTGAGAGAACCCACCTGCCCTGGTTTCCGTGAGCAATCAGGTGTGACCCGCACCTGGAAGGAGCCGCCCGGGCTGATGGGGAGCCAGTCTGTACCAGCCCTGGTGAATGGCTTAGGTGCACGAGCCCATTGTGCTCAGAGGGAAAGCTCCTCCACTTAGGGGATACTGATACTCGTGTTTGGGGGTCTTCAGCTACCCGAACTCCGCCTTGCTAAAGCCCTTCGTTTTCGGTAGTTGCTAAATGAATGGGAAGGATTTCCGTTATGAAGCACACTGTAGTCCATGATCACTCAGGAACATGGGCAGCTTGTGGCAGATGGAGAAGCTTGAATTCACACAGATCCACCTTCTGTAATGGTGCCGATTGATTGGTTGATTGATTGATTGGGCCTAGACCATGAGAGAAAATAAACGGATGCCTTCCATAGGAGGAACTTACCTTAGCTTCCTGCAGAGTTTTCAAACATGATGGAGAGTAAAAGACGGTCGGTCCCATTTTACGCCACAATGATTGACCCCGCCCCACCCCCACAAGACCAACTGGGCTGTGGTAAAGGAAGACCCCGAGGCACTGAGCTCACATGAGGCTGGTTCTCCTCACCTGGGTGTACCCTTGGCCTCGGAACTTGGTATAATCTTGGGTCTTCACTTCCTCGCTGACCTGGGCTGGCTGCTATCATCTCCCTGCCCTGAGATAATCCACTCCCACCCTGTGGGGCCCAGTGTTCAGATAACGCCTCTTAGGTATGAGGTCCCTGTACCCTCTGCTAGGAATACCCTGGTGGGTGGGTGGCTTTACCAAACGGGATTTTTTTTTTTCTTAAATGTTTTATTGTGAATTATGTGATAGTTTACATGGGAGCACATTAGTTTTACATTCATTCTATCGTATATCGTCTCATTGCCATGGTTACAATCCCCTCCATGCATCAATCAACCAACCAAATGGTATACCCTGCAAAGCCTGCTCCCCCCCATCCCCACCCCTCTCCAGGTATTCAGCACACAGTCCCTCTCCCTCTCTGGATCTAAAGATCTAAAGTCCCCAGCTGCTCCATTGCTCCACGTACAAACGGGATTTTTAGAAGGCTAGAATTCAGGCAGCTGGCTCTAGGAGAAGGCTCTTGGAAGTCCAGTCTCTGTTAGCTTCTCCGGGGTGACCCTCGTGGCTTGGCACCTTTCTTCCCACATGTCTGCTTCTCTTACTGGATTCATCTCTCTTTGTATCTCAGAAGAGATTCATTTAAGACACACCCTCCGCTAATCCTGTCTCATTAATTAACAAAGACAGCCCATTCCCCAACAGGATTATAACCACAGGTGTAGAGTTTGGGTTTACAACACATAATTCTACTGAAACACAATGCAACACACAGCATGCTAGTTGTGGTTGACATTGACGTACACATTGTAATAACAATAGTAATAGCATCAAAGGCACTGTTTTTAGCACTCTGATAGCTTCTGCTTAGGGGAGATCAGTAAATGGAAGGGGGCTTTTCAGCCATGGAGCCTAGGGAAGTGGGTCAGCCCCCAGCTGACATCGGTGTGGGCACCAGCCAGGGAACCTTTCTGGCTCCTAAATTAAAGCTCCTCTTGAATCCTGCAGGCCTCTCCGCACACCAAGGTGATGAGAATTCCGTCCTTCTATGCCAATCCTGAGGAACCCCCGCTACCTTCTGCACCTTCAATAGCCAAGTCAGGGTCACTGGACTCGGAACTTTCCGTGTCCCCCAAAAGGAACAGCCTCTCTCGGACACAGAAAGATAAAGGCCCTTTTCACATACTGAGTTCAGCCAACCAGACAAGCAAAGCACCAGAGGGGCAGAGCCTGCCCCCAGCCTCCACCTCCGCCCGCCTGTTCGGATTAGCTAAACCAAAGGAAAAGAAGGAGAAGAAGAAGAAAAGCAAAGGAAGCCGCTCTCAGCCTGGTGGTGAGTACACGTCTCTGTTGGGGTCTGGGCTCTAGAAAGGGTGTGAGACTTGTCAGCAGACCCACTTCCTCGGTTGGGTCTAACACTAGAACTCCAATTCAACAGCATTTTAAGGGCCCGTTCTCTCTGTGAAACAGTGTGCAAAGCCCAGCTTTCAGTTTTGAGGCATCTCTAGTCCAGGGTAGGAGCCAAATTCACTAAAATGACGCAAATGTCTCCCCTGTCCAATATTTGATAATTATTAGCTAGTATTTTCTGAGCATTGCCTGAGGTCTGATTTAATCATTAAATGGCTGATGGACTAGGTGACTGGGAGACGTGAAGAAATCGAGGAGAGGCGCAGAGAGCCCAAGATGAAATCGCAGTAAACTAGGCCTCTCGGTTTGCGTCGGAATGATCTCTGCCTTCTGTGTGGGAGGCTAAAGAGAAACTCCTATTTTCTCACCCGGGTGACATAATGGGTTAGCACTCAATTGTTAGCCAAAGGATCAGCAGTTCGCACCCAGCAGCGTCCCTTTCTCCAGAGAAAGGGTCATCCACTCCCCTAAGGATCACACACAGCCTCTGACACCTGGCGGGTAGTTCCACTTAGTCACATGGGGTCACTATGTATGTGTCAGAACCAACTACCGCACACAATGACCGGAAATAGAAGTTCAAATGCACAAGTAAGTGACGGCGAATTCTCTAGTGAGTACCCAGGACCTCGGTTCCTCAGTCCACTAGGACACCCCAGGGACGTTCCGGAGTTCCTGGCCATCACCTGGGGTCATTCTGATGGGAACCGACTCAACAGCAGGTCAAAAGACTATGTCGAGTCAGTTCTGACCCCTAGCGACCCTGTGTAGGGTTTCCAAAGAGCGGCTGGTGGGTTTCAACCGCTGATGTTTCGGTGCAGACTGTCCTTGCAGTCCAGCGCGTTCTCTTCAGCGCCACAACAGGACTCCTGGAAGAATATGGTGTTTGTTCATCCCAAGGAGTTCCTTGCTCACAAGCCCAGTCATTTGTGAGGGATTGGTGGGGCGCTCCATGAAAATAACCACGTTTCCAGACTTTATTTTGAACCCTTGGTGTACACTTTCCAGATGGGCCTGTGTCTGAAGTAGCAGCAGAGAATGAAGAGATCTTCTGCTGAGGCGGCTGGCTCCCGGCCCGTGATCACCACTGCCCCTGTGTGTACCGGCTCTCTTGTGTGAACACCCATCAGCCTCCAGCAGCAAGTCCTTCAGTGCTGTGCAGACCTGTCTGAGAGGAAGCCCGTCGTCTGGAGAGTCCTGGTGGCGAAGGAGGCCAAGATCAGGCTTTGTCCTTGATTTGTGACTGCCCGGGGCTCAAGGGTTGAGGCTGGCTTTATTAAGGATGTTACACTGAAAGTTGTGTCCCCCAAAGTCCCACTGACGGTTCTGGTTAGGTCAAGAATTTTTACTCCTAAAAGAGTGTTTCTTAAGGAGGTCTAAGCCCCTGGATTCTCAACCAAATGAAGCAGCAGAGAGAGTGAGCTTTTCCTCTGTCCAATGACCCATTACCAGGGCACCTGGGGTCTTGTCGCCAACACCTGGCCGACTTTGCACAGTGCAGGAGGGACCTCCTGGCAGGGCTAGGTGGCATGTGGACGCTGGGGATGGGTTTCGGGCAGTAGTTCTCAGCAGTCTGGTTTCCCTTTAAACCTCCCCAGAGCATATCTCTCTTCCTCCTTGGCATGTACCCTATTTCACTGTAGAGGAGATGCAAGCATGTATGAGAGCCAGTACGAAGAACAGTCTTGGTGTGTGGAAGAAGCATGTGATCTGCACCAACTCCAAATGGGTATTTTAGGCAAAAAAAAAGCAAACAAGTATCTAACTTTATCATCAAATCCAGATGAAATCATATATTGGCTTTTCAAGATTGTCCCCAGGTATTCTGGGCACAGATGAGGTAGAGAGACTTTCTCACCATTTTTCCTCTTTGGTGTGACACTTTTTGGTTGTCACCATTCAGAAGTGACCATGCCCTTTTGGCAGTCCTCTGCTCCAGCTCCTCCTGAGTCGGCCTGACCCCACAGAGTCCCGCTACCAGGATGCCTGGCTGAGAAATGGGTCTGGATGAAGGTGTTAACTCCCTTATGCGTCGCTTCCCGCTAGTATAGACCCAAGAGAGGAGCTGGCCCAGAAGGTGGGACTGGAGAAACGTCTCATTCTGTTTCAGGGGGCTGCGGCAAAATTGTTTTTCAAACCATTTGAAAACTCTAAAGTTGTGCTGTTAACGAGCTCTACCCCACCCCTGTGAAGGAGCCGCAGATGATGGCGGTTTGTGTTATGTCTTGTTTTGCTTTGCTCTGCTCTTCCTCTTCTCCCTCTTCCCACTTTCTTTTGGTCTTTCTTTGCTTGAGGCTCCTCACCAGCTGGTACGCACCGGTCTCTTCTGGGTAATGTCCCCTTGTGAAGAACAGCTGCCCGAGAGCCCCTCTTGCTGCCACTCTTGGTGCTCTGTGTCAGGGGGACCCTGGTGAACCCTGGGCTTCAGTTGTGGCCTTTGATTCCCATGTTTTGCCTCCCAGGCACCATGGGCTTTGAACCATACGTTTAAAAAAACAAATGAAAATACCTGTAACACGGTGCTTGTTGATAAATTTTTGCAAGCTGGCCTTGCAGATGGAGATATTTATCTTGCAGTTTATTTGAAAGAGGTCTGGTTTAAAATTGGTACCTTAGATTTCTTTTATTTATTTTTTGTGTGTATTGTTTTCAGGATGAACATACTAGCCCAACGGTTTAGAGCACTTGATGAGTGCAGACATGGGGTCTCAGCCAGCACCTCTTCTCCTCAGTGTCTTTCCAAGTGCCTTGAAGGCCCAGGTGAGAAGGAAGGGCTGTCGAAAGGGCCCACTTCCTCCTCTCCTCCCAGCCCACCTCGATCTTCCTCATTAAGAACTCAGGAAATTTACCACCTGAGTTACATTAGTCTACTTAGGTCATGGAGGCTTCATTCCCCTCAGAAATCGATTTTCTGTAGAAACCGTGGTACACCCATTGTCCCTCCCCACCCACACAAGACCCTAGACCACAAAACAGTGAAGTGGCTACCTTCCACCACTCTTACAACACCAAGTTACAGTGAATGTTAGCCTGCCGTGACTCCCCAGAGCCCATCTCTCTGCCCTGTCGGTTTTCTTGCCTACCCCGCCCACGGGGCTCCCCCCCAGGGAGATGAGCACCCCACCACCACCACATCCGGACCCTTGGGCCTAGTGTCAGTAAAACTGCCGGAAGGGCAATATTGAGTAGTTGAGTCAGGCTATGGGTGGATGAGCCCAGTCTCCAGGTTTACACTGCACAACTCGGTTACTCCCAGCTATCATGGGCAGTGTGTTTTGGTGGCAGGTTTTTAAATGGCAATTTCACCTCAACCTACACCCACTGACTTAAAACCATCTGGCAGGGTTCTGGCTGGACAGGTTTAGAACCAGAAACCTCCTGCGTTTGCCCATGCTGCTTTCAGGAATCTAGTCTGCAGTGCAAAAAAGAGTCTCCTATGGGGCCTGTGTCATCTCTCTCTGCCTTTGGAACGGAACCCATTGGGATTGTCCAAGGGAAAAGTTCGTAGGGAAATTCCTTTATCTTTTCTGTTTTTCTACAAGCTTTTTGAATCCCCACATAGTCTGTGCCTGGGGAACTGGCTGCTGTTGCCTGTACTTTTGTGTGGGGTCTTGAGCACCCACCGTGCTGGGCTCTCCTGTGAGGAGGGGTGATTTCCTCCTGGTTCTGACTCAGATCCAGTTCCCTGGGGTCATCTCCATGCTGGTCAGCCACGTATCTCACCGGTCAGGAGAAATCAGATGCCTAATGTTTTGGAGGGTAGAGTCCCAGAATTTCCCGAACCAGCGAACCCTTGGAAGGAGCCACCGCGTCTTCCCAGGGTTCTCATCCCAGCGGGTGACATGAGCACTTTAGTCTCTCTCTTAAGTTGGCTTCCTGTCTGAGACAATCGCCTGTATTAACTGTATTCTTCTTTGAAAAAGGAGAGGGTTAAGAACAAGCGCACCTCCTGAGATAATTCAACTTTTGCCAACATCCCGTCCCCCATGAGAGCTCGCTGCGGGAAAGAAATCCCTATTAAGATGTATTTTTAAAGGTACCAATCTTACCCTTTTTTTCCCTTTTATGTATGTCTCAGGGTGATACCACTAAAAGTTGGCCCTTTTGATAATTGTCTCCCTTTTTGTTACTTCCCAAGACCTCAGTTTTAGCAGTAAGCACAAATGTTTAAGACCCTTGGAGTTTTGTTTGTACCTTTATTTGAGAAGGGTGGGTATTAATGGTCAGGGATTTCATAAAATAGACCCTTCCTTAAATGAAGGGTCAGAACTTGACCTAGAAAATAAATTCTTTGCTTTGTCTCTGAGGTTCTTTGTCCATAATCAGTTCCTTCTTCCCAATGATTAAGTATTTGCCTGGTAGCTGAGGCGTCCTTGGATACTGTGATGTGGCCAAGTCCAGCTTCCTAGCCAAGGTAGTCCTGTGGAGTGGGCTTCCGTGGTCGTAAAGGGTCATGGCTCGGTGACTCAGACTGTCTGACTGTGTTGTATGCATGGGCCCCGTGAGTCCCGAAGCCTGGGACAGCCTGGGCATGGGATGGTAGTGAGGGTTACCTGAGACCCCAGTACCTGCCACCCTCCAGCATGGCCATCTGCCTGCCGAGGGCCCAGCCTGGCACTGCTGCCTAACTTGAGCTCAGAGTTTATTTTGGTGTGGTTCTTAAAGTTTTCTTGTAATGTAGCATAACATTCCTAGTTAACCAGAGTTTTGAAATCTACCACCTGCTGGCCAGGTTTGTTAAATGGAAAGTATTTTAATGCTGCCATAAAAGGAAAACGGGGGGAAAAAATCATAATAAAGGAAGAGAAAACAAAAGCATCTTTCCATTTAGTTATCTAATTTAATTTGTCAAAAAATTGACAGGCCATGAATTATTTCTCTCTGTTGCTAAGATTTAAAGATGGGCAAACCCTACTGGCTGAGAGCTTTCCTGCCAAATGCAGAAATGTATTGCAACCTGCTGTAGAAATGCAAGCCGAAACCCAGTCTGTGCTGTGCTGGGAACTCGAGCAAACCAGAGGGCTGCCTGCCCCCTCCCACCCACCCCACTTCTGCAGAAAGCACAGTGCAAAGCTCACTCCAAGATCGTGGGCCCGCTTCACCTGTCCTGTGCCCTTTGTAACAGTCCTCCAGGGATGGGGATTGCAAAAGCATGCACTAGGGACGGGTCCAGTGAATTTGCCTGTGGTTAAAGTTCAGCCTTGTGGTTTCCTGTTTTACCTAACCCCCCATTGGGTACACTTGGTGTAAGAAGCTAGGATTTGCAAGAGGGTAATCAGAATAGACCTCATACCTCTGCTTTCTGTATTTGTTTTGTTTTGTTTTCAAATGCTAATATGAACATTTCCAAGCTAAATTCTATTAAGAAGAAAAAGATGGGTCAAAACCCACATGCTGTATAAATTGTAATTATGTACAAAGTGAAGCAATTCTAAACTATAAAGATTTTTTTTCAGTGTGTTTTCTGGAATTTTGCCACAGCATACTGGATTTGTATTTTATTTATCTTCCTTTTTAGCTATTGGCTTCAAACTCTTGTAAAGTCCCCTTCAGTCCTTTCAAAAAATAAATTTCCTTTACGTCTTGGTTGGCGCTCTGATTGATTCTTCACTCGTGGGCTTCCTTGATCCTCGTGGTATTCTGGGCTTCTGCAAATGCATTGCTGCCAATGGGGTGTGGTGCTGTAGGATCAGCACTGGACTACCAACCCACAAGTTCAAACCCATCAGCTGCCCCATGGAAACCCTATACAGGGTGGCTATGAGTGGAGTCCACTCCACGGCACTTAACAACAACTGTTTATAGTGGGAAACCTAAATCCATTTTGAGTTTTGACATAAATTCGGCCTGCATTGAATTTTTTCGGACCATTAACCTGCAATTAAAAAAAAAAAAAAAAAGTGGGTTTCTCTTCCTAGCCAACCCAGTGAGGGGCGGTCTCACCCTCACAACCTTGTCTGGGCGTGCCCTTATTGGAAACTGGGTTACCATCTCCTCTGGGCCACGAATCTTCCTCCCACACACTTCCAGGTGGCTGGGGGTCCCGAGGACCAATCCT